TTGTTGGCAACACATCGGCCCTTCTCGGGGGCAAGAGTCTTCTCCGCATGAGTAGCAACTTTGCATTTGCCAACGCGTCGCTCCAAGATGCCCTCGTCGAAGCGCAGCTGTTGCCGCCACTTCCGTGGACGATCAACTACCGTCTCTTGGCGTCGTACCTCGGGCCGTTTGGATCTATCGACATGATCTATGTACCAGTGCCCCGTGTTTTGCAGCAAGTCGCAATGACGTTTGGGGACTCCATCGCCATTGCACGGCAGCGCGATCCCTTGGGGTATCGCAACGTATCGGCCACTGAAGAGACGTTCCCGTTGCCAAGTGCGTGGCGAGGTAGTGTCCAATGGGCCATGAGCGGCTCTGTTCTTTGTCCGATCCAGACGAATGCCTACGCATTGCAATTGCAATTTCTCATTAGCAGCGACGCGTTCGACAAGACTTGCAGCTCGCCATCTCCAGGACTTGGCTTTCTGCCGTCGCGCAACCATGTGCTTTTCGCACTGCTTCTTGCCAACGTGACATCGGCGTCCAATCTGACGGCGCTCTGCGCCATGGGCGTCACGTACGATATGCCGGCGTGTGTTGCGTCCATGCAGTTGGCATTGGCGTATGCTCTGCGCGTCCCGCTGCCCGCGCTCCCGACGGCCACATATGCAGGCGCTATCGAGAACATTTCATTGCAAGTGATCCAGTTTGGCAGTACAAGCCGTTCGGCGCCAACGGAGCTCTATGTCACGCCTCTCTTGGACCCGTTGGATGTCCCGTTCAACTACCACGCATGGCTCTTTCTGTACGACTGGATCCAAGGACAACGCGAAGTCATATCGTTTCAAGGCGACAACGGAACCCTTACTCTTTTGGGCGCAGGACTTTCGTCCATCGAGTCGTCGGTGGATACAACCGAGCTACCCACGGTCTTTTCCCTCTACGCGCTGCAAGCCGTGCGCTATGTGACATTTGTGATGCTCCTGTTGGCGGTCGTCACTGCCGTCTACATTCTGGCGGCGCGCGGCCATGTCGAAGGCCAAAACATGCTGGAGCTCAGTCGTGTGGGGGGCATCGTCTGGGTCGGTCGCCCGCTCATCGTCGTGCGCGGTATCACTGCGATTTGTTTCTTGTCGACGTCGTCTGTCGAGCTCGAGACGGATGGGATCCTGAGCGTCTTTGTCACGAAACAGGTGCCGATCTACATGACATGCCTCGCCGCGAACGAAGTCACGTGGCTTGTCGGCGTCGTCAACGACGTCTCGGTCGTCATGACCCAAGACTACACGATGACGTATGCGACGATCAACAGCTTGCTCGTCTGGCTTGTCTCGGCCTGCCTCGCGACGCTCGCACCCGTACGACCCACGGTCACGATCGCCACGACGTGTCGCCTCGCCGCATTGGACTTCCAAGTCGTGTGCTCGATGGGACAGGTTGCGATCGGCTCCTCAGTGCGACTGGTCCTTCTTATTTGTATTGTGCTGGCGTGCAACGCTGCGTGCTATCTTGGCGTGCGCATGCTCCACAAATCACGGCACCGAGAAGTGAGGAGTTCGTCGCTCTTGCTGTGTGGGAGTGCCAAGTACCTCTTCAGCGTCGATGGCTGGATCAAGCATGATACGTACTATCTGGACCGTGCGTCGGGTGTCTTGAACGGCCTCCTCAGCATCCGATATGGCGACCAGTGGATCATCTTTGATATCAAAACGTGGTGTCTGCATCGGCTCCCAGTAGAAGCACAAGAGACCCCACCGATTGGGATGCGAGCCCGACGCTATGCACTGCCGTTACGTGACGAACCAGGCTATTACGACAAATGACCGGCGTGTGGTTGCTACATGGTTTCGCGACGGCGTCTCCTTCGTGCGCAGTGTTCTTCTCTACAGATTGCTCACAGGCACCAAGGTGTTATAATGCGATAAATCCAAGACGCGTTCGCTCAAGTTCACATAAGTCGCACGCTAGCCGTATCTCTAAGTTGTTGTTTCCGATGACTACGAAGTTTTGCGATCCTTCTCGCAGCGCTATCTCGAAAGTCGTCGCGTTTTTAAAACAAAAACATGGGAGACACGAATCAACTCGTCGTACTACTCAGCGCGGTGCGTCTTGCAGGCAAGGCGATCGACCATGCGCTCGCGCCAGTCCTTCCACTGACGCTGCTCGTTCTGCAGTAGCAACTCACTGCGCACCGTCGCAATATACTTGAACGCGCAGTAGAGAAAGGCCACCACCACGCACGGAACCAAAACGTCGGGCACGTCAAACTCGAGAGTGAAGACGCAGGCCATGAGGCCGAGCAATGGACCAAGAGACGACAGTGGTGCCTTGGCGAGAATGAGTGCATCATCGTGCGCTTCGGCAATCTCGTCAATCTCGTTCTTGGTCGACACCGCCGCGTGGGATGCCGTGTCGATACGCTTGGGCGAGAAGAGACAGCGTGGCGCATGGTCCAGCCAAAGCGCGGCATACACTACAGCGGCCACTGCGCCGCGAAGGACGATTCGCATCGACATGGCAAGGGACGTCTTTGTTGGATATTTTGTTTGTGAGGATTCCATCACAATCGGCCGGCACAAAAATGATACACGATGGGTAGATGACTGCGTGTCCGTGTGCCACGTCATATCATGTTTGAGAGGTTTTCGACACGCCGGATGTGGCGCCATCTATTTGCAAACATACCTGATCGGCACGGCATGGACGCGTTTCTCGAGGTCGCGAGCCCCGTCATGCTCACGGTCAATGCGGCAGCGGTGCTGAGTCTCGCTTTGCTACCGACTCGGTGGTGGCCAAGCGCCGGCGCCATTGACAGCAGCGGCGCGGACGACATTTTCATCGCCGAGAAGATCAAGCGGCTTTGGCGACCGTATTTTGACCACTCGGACGCCGTGTTTCGCCACATGCAGAGCTCTTTTGTCGCAGCGTCCATCGCAAGCTACGCTTCGGAGCTGACGATTCCGTGGCTGCGCTACCCGTGCTTCAGCCTTATTCTAGTTGCGATCGCGCATTCCTACTGCGTCGTGGCGCACACTGTCGGTCAAATGAAAGCCCAAGGTCAGCGCGAGCAGTGGGAGTCTCTCCGGGACGAGCGCGAACGCTAAAAAGCTGTCAGCACGAAGCGCCCTTCGTATTCTGGTCCGTCTCATTAAGTAAACGTGACGTCACTTCAAGTCTTCCCACGACAGTGCACGGCGCTATATTCTTTTCAAGCAGGAGAAGCGCAAAGTAGCTGTTGCAGCTAGTGTCTCTACTCCACTTCTAGTTTACAAAACACCACGTCTTGTTGTGTTGATGCTCGGCGGTTTTTGCATCTCAAGAGACTGGCGGTCTGCGGTCTGCGCTAGATTCGGAGACGCCAGTTTTTTCGATCGTCGAAACTCCTGATCAATCAAATACGTCCTTAGTTTTAACGTTGGGGATGGACGTGTACGTCGCACGAAGCTGCGCAAGCATGCTTTCTTCCCAGTCTTCCCACTGCTCTTTTTCGTTTTCCAAAAGGAGGCGTTGGCGCCTCTGGTTCAAGTAAGGGTGCGCACACACAAGACCGATGATCGCCAGCACTGGCAGACCTTCGACCGGGCAAGCAAAGGCGAAATAGAGAGCCATGAGACCCAACAGCGGCCAGAACGAGAAGAGCGCGAGCTTGGCATTGCAGATCTTGCCCGTCTCCTTGGAGGCG